GGCAAGTAGTTCATTCGTGCGTTAGCAGGCGCACTGAAAAGCAGCATTAACAAGCTTGAATTAAATGCAACGCAAACAGCTTTTCCATTGGAGAGAAATCACTCAGATATTATCGCCTATTTAATGAACACAAACCGAATATTCCCTTCAGGAGTACCGTCTTTATTACGAACTGTTTTCTGCTTAGCAGATGTCTGGATGAAATCCAAGCATTAACAGACCCCCCCCCCATCTCACACGAAAAATTCCTATAAATCATCCAAACAACCGAAACGGGTTTGAACAACCGAAGGGGGCAGTATGGTCAATTATGAGGTAATAAGCATATTTATTAGTATTCCTGTAGCGCCCAAAAAGACTTTCAGGCATGTCAGAGTCGTTCAAACTTTGCCGTTTAAACGGACTGAAGTCATTTTTTTCAATAAAGGTATGAAGCAGCATAGAAATCGATTGTACTTTACCCAAAACAGTACAGAGTATTACTATTATACATGAAACTTAGTCATATTAAGTTCCCGAAACCAATTAATTTTTATGTGATACTGGACAGTGCATCTGTCAAAGTCACGCCATGAAATTTAGGATACAATTGACATTAATAACTGCACATCTCAACTCGGCTTCCAAATGTTCAGCCATATATAGATTTCGATTCAGTCAAACATGCACTGGAAAACTTTAGTTTAATAACAAAGTCAATCCGACATAGGAAAGAGTCTAAAATGACCATAGACTCGTGCGGCATTCACATTATGGGTCGAATTCAAAAAAGTCGAAACAGTTCTTATGTAATGATTATTCTGAAGTTTGCACAATTATATGTAAATTAAGTACCGAATAATTTAGTAAAATTTTAAGAGTCAAAACTTAATATTTCATGATCAGCGCGAATTCTCCAAAAGTGACGAATGGTCATGCGATGAATACTTCTACCATAGGTCTCAGTCGGAAAACTACCAGTAAACCTCTAATAAAACATAATTTACTAAAGAATACAGTAATCGGTCGCATGATCTAGTCATACAATTAATGGTTTTCTGCACGGTAAAAGTGAAATGACTGATTATTCAAATATCTCAAAGGCACAATCCACCCCATATCCTTGCAAAGAGTTTTATGTAAGAATGAAAATTCGGCATTCTGATACCAGCAAAGACCGATTCACTCTTATTTAAATGACACGATAACGACTCTTCACAATCTTTCCATAACAGATAAAACAAAAACTCGACTATATCGCTCCTTGCCGGCAAAACATTTAGCTAATTATTGTCGGTGAAAAATAATTCATCTTCGTTTTCTATACACTTGGATAAAAAATTCTGGTAACCATCGTACAGACAATGTTTAGAGAACATTCACCAACAGGAATAAATACGATAATCTGACAAAAGATGAACACGCCATAATTACACTGCTAATAGACACGTCTGGACATTAATAAAAACTGAAAACTCACATTATAAAATAAATCAAAATTAACTCTATGTAATGATGAAAATTACCTAAAGAAATTCATTAATATCACGAACATAGTGGAATAACGCATTTTAAATTTAATTGCAAAAGCATTAGTCGAAGATATTATTAGTAAAACATGGACAACCCAAAATAATGCTACTACGAATTACGAATGCAGCGCATTACTACGAATTACTATTACGAATGCAGCGCACAGCAATAATTCGCTACTGCTAACATTGCTGCAACGATCATCAGCACAGCCTCGATAACTGAAAACAGAATTATCGCCATGTCTTAAACTCTCAGTGCTACAAGCAACACCAGAGCTATTACTACTAACGCAACTCTACGAACAGCAACTAGTATAACCACAAATTTAACCAGCCCCATTACTACAACTTCTAAAATGTAATACGTGCATGCCTTCCCAAAATGAGATTTCACAAACTCTGCCATTGTCAGTCCCAAACACTGATCGCAAACGTGCACGGTTTACGTCCGCTGTCCAATTTCTCGTAAAACATAACCACTGACGTTCCTGGTATTGACACTATGGAACGTCAAACCCGCTACGTATTAGACCGGTTAACAAGAGCCGCACAGGCAGTTGGGAAACTAACGCAAACTGCGAAGGTCAGCAATCAGACTCTGCTTTACGTCTTCCGGCAACCGCGCGTAGTAGCACGGCAACAACTGCCGAACATCTATTCCAAGATGATCAGAATGACCGACAGGAACGGAGTCGCTATCCGTTCCAAACAGGAGGAACACAGCGCGATGCCATTATAACATGTCAAATAAGGTTCCATGGGAACGCTATCAATAGTGGGAACAAATAGTCAAAAATTCGAACATCTAACTCAAAAGCAAAGATCAGGAGCCATAGGAGGTCATAAGGTACTGAGGAGCTTACAATCCGAAACCGGAAAATACCCTTACTCAGAGGGAAGGAGCGAGAGCTAGTTGATGACATAGCAAGGTTACTCACTGAGCATAGTTGGACTCTCATCAACGAAGAACTAGGCTTCTGGAATCAGGTGTCGACATCACGACGCACGCTCAGGCCAGTATTAGAGTTCTTGTATAACCCAAATTGACTGATAGAATCACTGAATGGAAGCCTGTCAGCGGAAGAATGGCAAGCTTCTAAGTTAAGCTACGGCAGGCCAGATCTCTGGTCTTGTTACAGGTCTATGCGACCAATTCATAGGGAGAATATGACACCTTCCTTAAGGAAGTGCAGTGTGCTCTGTTCGAAGTGCCGAATACATACTCATGGACGATTTTAATGCACATGCCGGAGTGAACGCCGAAAAGTGGCACAACGTGATTGGCAAAAAAACGGCCCTAGCGACCTCAACAATAACGACATGAAGTTGTTGCGGTTTTGTGCAAACAATGGATTGTCCATTATGAACACCTTCTTCGAGCATCAAAAACTGCATCAGTATACCTGGTATCGGGGAGCTTCTGCACCGAAGTCGATGATCGATCTGATAATCGTATCGTGTGACTTCAGACGCTCAGCAATGGATGTTCGCGCTAAGGGAGGCGCAGAGCTGTCAAATGATCGTCGCCTTGTTGCTTGTACGCTACAACGTGAGATATGGAGCAGCAAGCGACGATCTGGTGGCACAAGCAAACAGAGAATCAAACTGTAAATATTATCTTTGGCGGATACGAGAGCAAAACTTGCAAACAACACGGCACAACGGTTTGAACAGATCCCGGCAATGACCACCGATACGGAAACTGATTGGCAATTCTATAAGAGCAGCACACTCGAGGCTGCCGCCGAGTGCTGCCGAACTGAACGGGTTAGCCATCTGCCTGGAAGTCAGAAAAGAACTTCCTGGTGGATAGGAGAGTCATAAATGGTTGTCACCGAGAAGCCTGCATTCAACAGGTGTCTTGGAAACAAAGAATTTTCAACTTGAATGCATTAAGAATGGCGCAAGGCGCAACTAAAGCAATGGCTAAATCAATAGGATTCATGCAAAACTTCTGGTGAGATGTTCGAGTAGAATTTACAGATGGAAAACAAAGTATTCTGGCAGACCCCATCCTCCGACTCCGAGATGAAATGAAAGGCAGTCTGAGAGTTTTGAAGGACAAGTTCGATCTGTTTATATGGAAGAGAAGATGCATCTGAGACTGGGAGAGTAATTTTAAGAAGCTCTTAACTTAAGGCAAATGCAGGAAGACTCGCTTGAACAAAATGAAAGAATGGAAGACATTAGTTTTTCAGCAGATGAAGTCAAAGAAACAGTCAAAAGTCTGAAAAGTGGCAAACGTACCGACATCAATGAAATCCGCCCTGAAAAGCATTAAGGATTAGGCGAACAAGATGTGGTGACCTACGGGGAAAACAACTAAATGTAGAACTGCGCCGACATAACTCCTTTTCAAGAAGGAGATTACACGGGGTGCTGCCATTATCGGGGAACAGCCTTATCTAGCCTAGGCTTTCGCTCAACCCCAAGTATATCTGACCAAATTTTCTCCATACGTAAGAATGCTCAGAAAATGGGGGAATTCGTACACTCGGTTTACATGCGAACATATGAAATCTATGGCCAGTTGTTACAGGCCATGCAATCACTATGCCTTGATAACAAATGCTGCATCAGAGTAAATGGCGTTAAATCGAGGCCTTTCGACGTTGGCACTTGTCTTCGCCAAGGCTGCGTCTTGTCTCCTTTCCTGATATGTTATATGTTATACATGGATAGAATGGTCAGGCGCAGCCAACGCGATGAGTGTATCAGTGTAGGATATGTCGAGGTAAGAAAGTTGCT